CTAGTAACAAGAAGCTACTAGGAGCAAAGGGCATCGCTACTAGGAGCGACGCTACTAGTATAACTTCCTCTTTTCACTATGTCTGTTCAGGTTTTGTTGTCTCTCAAAGTTCTGAATTTCACATCGCTTAGAGACCAAACCGAGGCTTGCACCGTTGCGGCGTCCGGATCCTGGGGACCTCGGTGGAGGCCATCGACGCCTGCGAGGACTACAAAAAAGGGTTGTACAGTTCAAGAACAGTCTAAAAGGATTCCAAAACGACCCTAAACTCTATTCCCAAAAAACTCTAAACTCTACAAGTAAAGGAAAACACCTGAGAAACGCTCAAACTGTTTCTGTTGCGAGGACCGCAACAAGTTCTCCCAACTCTGTGACCAGCTCCGCATCGACCAGCCCGAGTGGTCCGAGTTTGCCACCCTGGAGGCAGGTTGACGCGTTGGCCATGAGACTGCATGGCGTCTAACCTACTAGCAATGGTCTCCAACCTAAGAGCGAGTGAGACTTCATTGTCATTTTTACAACTGAGAAGTGATAAGCAATCTGCGACTAGGAGTGTTTACTCGTAGATCGAGTGCAGATCTTGACGGTGATTGGATTCTGATGTTCCGAGTAAATCGTGGGGGCTTCGGCCAGAATCGCTGGCAGGAGGCGCGGCGTTTCTGTACCACTGCTGGCTTTCCGGTCTTGGTGCGGCCCTCCTATGTGTTGAGCGGCGCAGCCATGCGTGTGGTCACAAATGATGATGATTTGGACGTGTTCTTAAAAACTGCCGCTGTGGTGAGCAGGGATCATCCAGTGGTGATCTCCAAGTACATTGCAGGCGCAAAGGACAGTGGCGCATTCAACAGAACAGAACTTACCACTTTGTCCACTATTCAGAAAGTTCATGAAAGGTAGCTTCAGCTACCTGAGTTCTATCTCGCATAAGCAAGGGGGCTGAATTGTTGAAAGTGTTTGATTTTTGTGTTTGAGTTTAGATTCTATTCATGGGCCCCCCCATCACCCTCATCATCGCCACCATCATCGTCCTCTTGCGGACAGGATAGATGGTAAGAACAGGGACTTTACTAGATGCACATATGATGCTCACTACCTGGGCATTTGTTTTGGGACCACTTTTTCTGGGACTTTCTAAGGGAACGGCCTCGTTTTGGAACGCGCAATTGGTCTCAATTTGGAACGCGGGAGATTAGTCTTAATTTGGAACGCGGGCGTTTGTGTTAGCTGCATTTCTTTTTCGTGTTCATTTCAGGTTGCGCTTGGTTTGTTGCCTTATTTCTTTGATTGTACGTGGAAATGCGGATTTTCTTCCTGTCAGCCACTCAGCCACTCAAGATTGGGAGTGGCTGAGTGGCTGACATGAAAAAAGCCTGAGTGGCTGAGTGGCTGACAGGAAGAAAAGCCTGAGTGGCTGACAGGACGAAAAACCTGAGTGGCTGAGTGGCTGACATGAAGAAAAGTCTGAGTGGCTGAGTGGCTGACAGGGAGAAAAGCCTGGAGGAAATGCCTGAGTGGCTGAGTGGTTAAGTGGCTGGTGTGGAGTAGTCGTCGTAGTAGAAGTAGTATTGGTAGTAGCTGGTCAAAGCCGGCGCAAAAACTGAAGTCTGTCTCCTTTGGCTAAAGCACCCTCTTTCTCTAGCAGTTAAATATACACAAATGTTTACCCTTATTTTAGCTTATTTTGTCCCAACGCGTACAAAAGCGGGAGGTAAATTTTACCCTCCAGATTTGCCATAACAACAAACCAGCTATTTCATCACGACACTCTATTCCTTATAACTTATACTGGTTCGAAAACTTATCCTGCACTACCGACGCCCTAGTGCATTTACAGTCCTTGTGATGCCAGAAATGCTTACCCCTATTTGCGACCCAATGCGTACAAAAGCGGTGGTAAATTTACCCACCAGAATCGCTATAACAATAAGCCAGCTATTTCATCAAGACACTCTGTTCCTTATACCTTTTTCGAAGACTTATCCTGCACTGCGGAGGGCCGGGTGCATTTACATTCCTTGTGATGCCAGAAATGCTTACCCCTATTTCCGACCCAATGCATACAAAAGCCGGGGGTAAATTTAACCACCAGATTTGCAATAACAATAAACAAGCTATTTGATCCAGACACTCTATTCCTTTTATGTTCGTGCCCAAGTATGCGAGTGTCTGCTAACATATCCAGGTGGATGTTAGGATGTAGGGATGTTCCAGGCACTGCGCATGCGACTCCCCCGCCAGGGCTCCGTAGCTCTATGTTTGCGCTTGTGCTTTGCAGCCAATGCCGATCCTCATTGCAAAAGAGCTGGTGACAACTGTTACGTTACATCCCAAGAACAAAAGGCCCCGTGCTCCAAGGAGCAATCAGCCCAGTGCTGTTTATGAAGCGTCCGCGTCGCCATCATTAGTGTGCTGCAGCTCACTTGCCGACTGATTTCGGGCCCACTGCGAATGGTAGTGGAACAGCAGCAGGATCCGTTTCAGAAACGGATGATTTCCACAGAAACTTCTGTGTTCAATATTATACCTTGCACCCCTAAACCCGGTTGAGTTGAGCGCCATGGAAATCCAGCTCGAACCCTGGCTTTCCGTATGGGTACGCAAGCTCAACAAGTGCTGCGCGCAAACAAACACCTCCGGTGCGCTTCGGCTAGCTTTCGACCTCCTCCTCCTCCTCCTCCTCCTACAGTGGCTACTGCCACTGCTACTGTTACCACCACTACGACGACCACTTCCACTGCTCCGACCACTCCTACTACTAATACTGCTGCTGCTGCTGCTGCTACTGCTACTACTACTACTACTACTACTACTACTAAACTGCTACTACTGCTGCTGCTACTCCTACTCCTACTCCTACTCCCACCCCTACTCCTACTCCCACTCCTACTACTACTACTACTACTACTACTACTACTACTACCACACTACTACCACCACCTCCACCCAGCCGCTCGGCACCAGCCACTCAGCTACTCAGGCTTTCCTTCCTGTCAGCCGCTCAGGCTCTTTTTACAATCAGCCACTCACCCACTCAGACTTTTCTTCCTGTCAGCCGTCTTCCTCTCAGCCACTCAGCCACTAAGACATTTCTTCCTGTCAGCCACTCAGCCACTCAGGCTTTTCTTCCTGTCAGCCACTCAGCCACTAGGCTTTCTTCGTGTCAGCCACTCAGCCACTCAAAATCTTGAGTGGCTGAGTGGCCGGTCAGGATCTTGAGTGGCTGAGTGGCCGCCGTGAACCGTGACCTGGATTGCACATATTCTGTGTTTTGTGCTAGTGCGGCTTTTTTGTTCAACTCCGGCTGTTTAAATCGTGTGTTCCAAAATGAGCCTCCACCCGGACAGACGCAGCTTGGCTCACGCTTTCCGACTTAGGTTCATCATCCTCGTCATCATCATCATCATCATCATCACCATCATCAACTTCTCTTCCACTAATTAACCACGTCGAGTTCAGCCAATCGTTTTGTGGGAAATTCTTCCGCGACATGGCCTCAAAAGATCGGGGTTTGCAGGAAGTTGAAATGGATGCTATCGGTAACAATGGTGATTTGGTGAACTATGCCATCGCAGAGCACATTGAGACACTCCGCTTCAGATTGGCGTCAATTTGAGTACGGTAGTAGCCTCCACCCTAGCAGCGATGGCCTCCACCCTAACAGCAGTTTCTTCCTTTAGCCGAAACGTTTCGATACTCAGCCGACATTTCTTTTCAGCTTTGCTCTTCCCAAGCGTCGGCCGCGTGTGACTCTTTCCGCCTGTGATTCCCTGTGTGACAGTGAGGAACGCTGGTGTCCACAGTGGGGATGCGACGCTGCTTCTGCCAGCGCAGCGTCTCTTTGTCGAGACTCATAGACGGGTCAAGAGCATCTCGCAGAAGTTGTGCAAAGCTTTGAAGATTTCCGGGCCCTTCAACATCCAGTTCATTTGCAAGGATCTTGGGTGTGCGGATTTGATTGCTGTTTTTTGATTGGCTTGCAAGTGTCTGATAACACTTACCCTGGAATTCAAGAGTGAAGTGTGTTTCTGAATCGCTGATCATGAGCTGGCGGGTGTGCACAGACCATGTCTATGTGCCACAGGACAACGAAGTGAAGGTGATTGAGTGCAACCTCCGTGCTTCTCGCTCCATGCCCTTCATTTCAAAGACCTACAATGTGAGTCTTGGCGCTGCGAGCAGCACAACGGAGTTCCGTTGAACCACATGTCTTTTTCCCGAATGCGTAGCGAAGGGTTCTCGTTTAACTCTGGTGGTCTTGGGGTAGAGCCTTGTTCGCGACACGTTGTTTCAGCATCCGCAACCGTCCGCCGCCGACCGCAGTAGGGCGCTAAGGCCGCTGCCATTGGGGGAAGCTTATGGAGAGGGTTTTGGACGAAAACGTGACGTGTCAGATGCATGTGAAATAGCGTGGAAGCGTGTGGAAATGAAAGATGTTGAAGTATGAAGGTTGCGTTCACTGCGTGGGCACAGCGTTTTGTGAGATCCGCAGTTTTCTGCGCAGTTCCATCAGGGTTAGCTTTTTGGAGAGTGATGTTTTTGGGGTGTTGGATGTGGGTTTGCGTTTCAGGGTGTTGCGTCGAAGCTCTGTTTTCGTGACAAGTCTCAGCTGAAATGACGATTTTGGTGGATGGGAGTGTGCTCAGGACGGGTCGAAATCATTCCAAACGTGTGGTGTGGTGCAGATTTTGTTGAAGCTCACATGATATTGTCACTTTTCGTGGCAGGAGCAGTACTTTGTGCAGATTTTGACGTGTGGAAGTGCGATTTTCGTGGCAGGCGCAGGGAACCGTGCGGTTGCGAGATGTGACGGAGGTGACATTACGTGGCAGGCGCAGTACTTTGTGCGCGTTAGACGTGTGGACGCGGAAAGATTCGTGGCAGGCGCAGGGAATCGTAAGGTTGTGAGTTGTGGTAGAGGTGAATGTCGCTGTGACATTGGGATTGGCCTGTGAGCGGGCGTTGTTTGGAGGGGCTGGAATCGCGAAACTGCTTGGCAGGGCTGCGTGATGTGTGTGCTCCGATGGGTGTTTCCGCTTGGCTTTTGGAGGAAGTCTCGTACGAAACGCTCGTTTTGCAGACTTTGACATGTGAGTTTTTGAGGAAGTCTCGTACGATACGCTCGTTTTGGAGACTTGACGTGTGACTTTTTGAGGAAGTCTGGTACGAAACGCTTGTTTTGGAGACTTGACGCGTGACTTTTGGAGGAAGTCTCGTACGAAACGCTCGTCTTGCAGACTCGAAGCATGACTTTTGGAGGAAGTCTCGTACGAAACGCTCGTCTTAGTGTGTGGGCAGACATGTGGCGAAATTATTGCCTTTGTGATGTCGCAGTGCCATGCGGATTTGCGCGGCCTTGGTGGGAAGCGCGTTTGCGTGGCGCCGTGCCACTGGGGAGCGCGAAACATGCTGGTGTAAACGCGACGTGTCGCTGGTGAGCAGGATGACCAATCATGTGCTATGTTTGCTTCTAGTGGGTGGCAGACCGTGTGGCGAAATTACGTTCGTGATGTCACAGTGGCACGGCCTTGGTGGGAAGTGCGTTTGCGTGGCGCCGTGTCACTGGGGAGCGCGAAACATGCTGGTGTAAACGCGGCGTGTCGCTGGTGAGCGGGATGAATGGTGGTATGACGCGATATTTTTCTAGTATGCGGCGGACCGTGTGGCGGAATTACGTCCGTGATGTCGCAGTGCCATGCGGATTTGCGCGGCCTTGCTGGAAAGTGCATTTGCGATGCGCCGTGTCATTGGGGAGCGCGAAACATGCTGGTGTAAACGCGGCCGGTGGCTAGTGAGCGACAAAAGTGTCCTACAAGAGTGCCCCAGAAGAGTGTCCCAGAAGAGTGTCCCACAAGAGTGTCCTGTAAGAGTGACCCACAAGAGTGTCCTACAGTGTCTCACAAGAGTGTCCCACCAGAGTGTCCGACAAGAGTGCCCCACAAGAGTGTCCCGTGAGAGTGTCCTATAAGAGTGTCCCACAAGAGTGTCCCACAAGAGTGTTCCATAAGGACCCACAAGAATGTCCTACACAAGTGCCCCAAAAGAGTGCCCCACAAGAGTTCCCCACAAGAGTGACAAGAGTATCCTACAAGACTGTCCCACAAGAGTGTCCTACAAGAGTGTCCCACAAGAGTGTCCTACAAGGGTGTCCCACAAGAGTGTCGCGTAAGAGTGTCCCACAAGAGTGTCCTACAAAAGTGTCCTACAAGAGTGTCCCACAAGAGTGTCCCACAACTGTGTCCCGTACGAGTGACCCACAAGAGTGTCCCACAAGACTGTCCCACAAGAGTGTCCTACAAGAGTGTCTCACAAGAGTGTCCTACAAGAGTGTCCCACAAGAGTGTCCCACAAGAGTGTCCCGTAAGAGTGTCCCGCATGAGTTTCCTACAAGGGTGACCCGCAAGAGTATCCGACAAGAGTGTCCCACAAGAGTGTCCTACAAGAGTTCCCACAAGAGTGTCCTACAAGAGT